GCCTTTGAGCAAGGCTCTGGCTGGAGACCGAAGCACGCGCCGTTGTAGAACTGTCAGGTGCTCGCACCCATGGCAGAGGGAGAGCAGCCTGCGCTCTTGACTTTTGGGCAATGTTCCTCGAATTTCGGTAGTTTGGTTGAGATTTGTTTTCTTAGGTTCTTGCTGAAGGTGTGACCACATATGCACACGCCTTGCTTCGATATGCATTGACATTTGTTGTGTCAGCAACCTCCGCCTAGAGTAGCCTGATAAGAGGAAAGTCTTACCAAATAAGGCTTGAAATAAACAGACATTGGAATCTAAATAGAACTTGGCTTGAGATCTTGCTTATCAGGCCTCTTATGAAGCTCCTCAATAAAGCTGCTTAAAAGATCCTGTCGAGGCTCCTTGTACTAAATAGGATGTTGATTGCTAAACATGTTCAACAGACGCTGCTGAAAAAGTCAGTGAAATGGAATTCCTATTCACAATGAAGATTCAAACGGGATTTCCTTTCCAACTACGGTGTTAATGTGAATTAATATTGTGTTTTGGTGGAGTTTGATAGGGACATAACCCATCAGAATTGCATTCTTAATCTTGTTGTCAAATGCGATGTTCTCTTCCAAAAGGCTTTCGGTTAAATTCAATTAGGGCCTGAATATAGTTTTATAACGACGGACTCTTGCTATAAGTTCTATTTAAACAGTTGCGAAGATGTAGCAGACCACAGACAGCAAGTACTTGTCACTGACCTGCAGGTGACTAAAGCTCATTGTAATGCTTCTCTCAAGGCTCCTTCTACGGCTCCTTATAAGTCTCCTTATGCCAAGTTGGATTTTAGTTAAGAACAGAAGGTGACAAGAAAATGCGGTATTCTACTTTTATGTTTTGAATGAAGGGCCAAAAAGGTTTTCCTTTCCAAATGTGACTTTAGTTGTATAACATTTCAAGCAGCAATTTATCCGGAAGGAGTTTAATCTGAATTGCTACTTGCACATGAACTCCTTTCCAAAATGTTTCCCAAATATCTTTGAAATGGAAAGTGAATAAAACTTAGTAAGCAGGAGGCATTTCTTTGCAGATGTGACATAGCGCTATTCCCTCCCCCCCTTCCCACCCCCACCCCTCCCCCACCTATCCCCCACCTATCCCCCACCTATCCCCCACCCACCCCCGCCCGCCCACTCCCTTGTGGGGTCCATTCGAAGGCGTTGTTCGCAAGCTTTGTCATGACTATGCCCAAACCATCAAACATAGCAGAATTTCTCCACAGCTGGGATTTGGGAGTGATTGCCTCTTCTATTCAGGGGCGGTTCAGTCACAGGGGTAGAATCAGTTGGGTGTGGGTCAAAAATAGGTACCCAATATAGAACCCTGGTAAATGGAAACATGAGCTAAAACTTGCGGTTCCCTGGTGGTTTAATTTTGACCCATACCCATTTGGGTCCAAGTGGTTGGCCCTTTGTGGATTGGGCTTGAAAGAAGCCAAGAGGATTCACGCAACTTGGAGTCTGGCAAACGGGCTCGTCGATTTTTTTCTCCGAACATCACCAACCGTGAACTTGAGTCGTTCTTAACATTGAAGCGCAAATGACACAAATCTCCCAACAGCAGATTTCAATCAACCCGGAGGGTGCTAACTCTGAAAAACAAAGAGAGCGTCCCCCAGATGCGGTCAGCCAGATGTGGCAGCGCAGAACGTACCTGCGCACTCAGGCTAAGGAGGCCCTGAAGCAGGTGGGGCCCCGCAGACTCTGGGCTCTCCAGCTGTCTGATTCAGTTTCTTAACTTGGGAAACCCCGTTAAGAATTTACAAAAGGGACACCAGACGATTTTTGGGTTGCCTGTGTGGCGAGCAATCCCCCGCCGGCGGGAAGTTTATCGCATCAAGACAGTTCGCCTGCATGAACCACCGAAGCAACTAAGAGTTGACAGGCGAAGGCTGCCGCCAAAGCGAAGGCGTGGGCGTTTCACATCATTTGCCGTTGCGGGCGAACACCGGCAGAAGCCTTTGGCTTATGTTGGCCGAACGTCACGGATATTCAGTTGAGTTGTGCTCCCCACCAGCGATCGCTTGGGGTTCTTCAGCCATATTAGGTAATCTGGCAGTTCAAGCGAACGGGGGCAACCAAAGCGTCAGCGCTTTGCTCAGAGCGACCTGTAACTCGTTGGTGATCCAGTGGAGATCCGGAGGGCTCCGGTGTTCTGGAACATAGCGAAAACGTAGTAGAGTTCCGAGGTATCTGTGTGAACTGGCGCATGGGACAGCCGAATATCAGCTACTTTGGAGGCCGCGTTGTTCGAAGATTCATTCCCTGCTGCTTCTGTAATGTTCAGGCCATGACAACTTTCAACATGCTGGAATCTATATTGTGGTGTTCACAATATAGGTGTATTTTGGTAGGTTGGGAGTTTGCATGTTCCCTGGAAGTGAATCCATCGAGCTTTTAAGCCAATGCCAGGACCTGCAACTGTTCATCATTTCAGCGATTCCGTGAGTAAGCTTCACATTCATGGCCCATTAACTGCGCTGGGCTCGGGGCGTGCGGCGAAACGAAACCCTTGGTGCTCCACCCCACTTCTCAGCGCTGTTTGCTGATTTGGGGTCAGCACGGCATCATAGCTGAACGAACAAGCATAAACTTCCACAAGGCCCAATCGAAAATCCCATGCTCCTTGTCGCATTCGCAAGGTGTCAGCGAAGAAAACAAACAGAACGTGTGTGCTTCACTTCTCAAAATCGGCGACGCCCGAAAAAAGAGAGGCCGTTTTGCTTGGTGTCCCTTCTTGAGCCAAAGGGGGCCTGAGCCCATGAGTAGGCCTCGTGTTGCAGGCCCGTCCTTTTTACTGGTGTGCACCACTGGGTTTCTGCAGATTGGGTCTGGCCCTGAACCCAACCTTCGATGTTCAAAACAAATCCAAACCAGGCAAGACCTCAGGGCTCCCGTGCCTCAGGAAAACATCCTGTGGAAAGCCTCTCGTTTCACCGTATCGGTTGATGGAAAAGGGTCTATGTGCTTGTCTCGCCCGCACGGCTGTTTTTTGCGAGGCGAAAGCAAAGGGCAAGGCGAGGCGGGCTGGAAGTGTGCAGTGGCCAAGGCATCATCTCGCGTTCAGTCGGGTTGATAAGAACTAGATGTCAACTTGCAAGAGCCAAGGTTCTGGTATTCCAATCAAAAAAGCCTTAGCAGAAAATTGAAGCCTGGATTCTACTGGTTCGAGATTCTCGTCATTTTTCTAGCGTAGATTTTTCCAGGCCACCGCAAATTGTTCAGGGATGCATCGGTTGCGAATGCCTCCCTTATGACACGGGCCTTTGGGTCCTCTAAATGAGTAAAGGCATTCAAAGGGACACAGGGTAGTTCCCAAGGCGTTCTTTCCCTTCGTAGCGTTGTTGTAAGAGGCTTAAGGAAACCAGGCTTGGAATTCCAATCCTCTCTGAACAGCGCGGTTTCATCCTTCCAGTTTTGACAGCCGATGAATGCAGCGTCAAAAAAGTCAGTATGAAAGCTGCTGAAGAGGACCTGACTAGTAACTGAGCGTTGCTCAGGGGTCAACATGAATCAAAGACTTGGGCAGCCACTTGGTTGAATGCCCAACTTGGGAGTCTGTGCTTGGGCCACTAGCGAACCTGAATTCGAGACAACAATAGGGGAAACAATTTGCCGTCGAAAGGGGGCTTTAGGTTGAGATCTCCAGACTCGCTTCTGATTGCCTGCTCTTTTCAGAATTCGGGTTCATTTTTTTTTTGGGAAAACCCTTTAAGATGGTGACACTTCTTTGCACATCCCCTTTTCCCAATAAGAACTGCCGTTTCAAGCGGACAGGGTCGGTTCATGGTTTTTCCCAAGCCCGGGTTCCGATTGGGTTCTGGGGCTCTGAAGGAAGTTCGGGCAGGGATACTTGTTGGGCTAATTTGGGTAGAATCATCATGTCAATAACGTTGACTTTCGGGCCTAAACAATCCACTGGTTTTTCTGAGGCCTTGATCAAAACCAAGCCGTTCCGGGCCAGTAAACTTACCCTCACTTTTGCCTCGCTGTTCAAATTGTGCGAGGATAGATATTTGGAAGCACCTAGTCTCAGACATACTCTCACCCTTCGAAGCACCCCTTCTAAAACTATTCTATTGTGAGTCCGCAGCTTGTTACGTTTCGCGAACGTAAGCGCTGGCCGCTTTTTGCCAGGCCTGAGTGAGTCGCTGGGAATTGACACGGGGCCACCGAATCTCTTCAGGGCGGGGTAGTGTCCGTCTCTTGGCCATAAACAGGCAGAGGCATAAACCTGTTCAAAGGCATGATGGATAGACTCAGACTTTCAGCGATCTCTCGCCGTGCAGAATCCGATCCGGCATGGGACGGCGCTGTGGTACCCGTTGTCCCGTGCACCGAGTCGCCGCTTCAGAACCGCAAGAATCGTGCCGTTGCTTGGACCCATTGTGTTGCCATGGTCTGATTCATGACCATTGCTGATGTACAGGTACATCTCAAAGACAGTCACATCTCCAACGACCCATTGGGCCGTACGAACTTGACGGTGTTTCAATCCCAAGGGAAGCCTCCCAATGAAGTCATTGCTTCTGGAGAAGGATGTGAGGCATGGTGACCAATTCCAGTCTCACCGTGCGACTCGGTGCCAAGCTTAATGTGCTATGCGTGTCCGAAGGGCCCGAGACTCTGCACGGTGAAGCACTCAGCCCGGATATGTTCAGTGTCTGTTGCAGCTGGCCGTGTGCGACAGAAGAGTCAGGATCCTGAAAAACACACTAATTAACTTGACGCTCGCATGTTTAACTGCAGATTGCATTGCGGGCAACTGTGCTTCGGTGGTGACAAAAAGTACCCGCCTTGGGCGGATTTTCGGCTTTTCGATGGAGGGCGAGCCACGAGGAGACATGACCTGTTTCCAGTTTGCCAAGGGCCGGAGATCCTGCAAAACTTGGAGGCGTTGCATTGTTTTGGCCCACACCTGGCCAAGCATGTTTGCGAATGAGGTTTGCACATGGGCTCGCCGAGGCAGAGCTGTTTGGGTTCAGCTCGCACATGCCAATGTAGCGACACGACGCCAGGAGCTCGGCGTTGATGTCGTGGATGCATGAAGAGAACCGCGCGTGCCAATATGCATCGATTCTCGCGTGCGTGGGCACTGCGGCGGTGGCATCCATCATCGTGTATGCTGTTGGCCCAACAACTCTGCTGGCAGAAGCCTTGAGGATGTTACCGGATGATCCTGGCTGGGGCTGGTTCATTGGCTGGGCCTTGGTTCTGCTCATCTCCATTGTGCTCATGCTGCCGATGTGGCAAGCGCTTTGTATCGCATCAGGACTTATGTTCGGCAGGGGCCTCAGCTCGAAGAGACGCCGTGACGCGACACATTGCGTGACTCAACTGACAAAGGTCTCGGCAGCCAGTCTACCGTTTCATTTTGGATGAGGGGGGAGAAGTCAGATTTTCCACAAGAAGCCAGGGGGACAATCAACATTGTCGCGCCTGGGCAACAAAGAAGAACTGTTGTCTGTGGGCGTAAGCAAGGGTCAACCAACACCATGTAGTGTTGAAAAGGGGACGACACTCGCCAGGGTTGCTCACCAAGATCTCTGGATGCAAGGAAAATTGACCCCAGTTTGAGTTGGTACCCCCTTTTGGTTTTAAAGGGAAACCAAAAAGGACACCCGCATTTCTGTGGGGGTCCGACCTAAGAAAACACATTGAACATCGGTCATGAGACTAGGTTTGTGGGACCCCGCAAAAATGAGTCGTTGACTTGTGTTTGCCATCATTCCCTACACACTAGTCGCAAACCCAGTCCAATCGCAACACTTTGGTACATCGAGGCGTCGTTTCCAATGTTTTTTTTCTCCTTCTTTTGTTTAATAAAATAAACATCTGCATTCGCACTGGGTAGCCCTCGAACATGGAGGCGTTGCCCAAGCCAGAGGCTTAACATCTTCCCCTCCCTCCCGGTAGACAAGACTTGCGGTAGGGAAGGAGGACATGCACCTGAGGATTCCCTCAAAGGACACCATAGTGTGGGTGGACAACATCCATCACAACACCGTTCAGAATCCATGGAATGATACAATTCCCCTGGAAATACATACACAAACAGCGGTTTCCACCATGGGTTCATTTCACCGTGCGAACATTGCGACATTCTTCGCAGCCCTCCGTCGGGGATGGGCTTTTCAATTTTTCTCCTCCCGGGTCATTGGCCCAGTGGCCCAGTGGTGCCCTTTTTCCCCCCTTTTTTTTGGGGGGGGGGAAGGGTTTCCCTTGAAAGTCCGCCAGCCAAGAAAGGACGCCGATGTTTTCTGTTTTTCCTCTGGCCAGTGGGCATCTGAGCTGCGCGAGCCGCGGATCGAGCGAGCTCAGAGCTGGAGCCCGAGGTCTGGGCTACGGCACGGCGCTGAACTTCCTGGCGCTCTATGGGGCGGCGGCGGTGAGCACCCTGCTGGGCGAGACCTTGCGCCTGAGAGCGGGGGCGTGTTTTTTTTTTGTTTTGGGGGGGACGAGGGGGAGGGTGGGAGGGGGGGAGGGGGGGTTGTTGTTGGGACACGTTTTACGTTCTTGCTGATTTGCGGTTTAGTGGTTGAAATCCAACCACTTCACTGCTAAAACAAATAATTCTTGCTCCCCTTCCAGCGTCAACCAAGTGGTGGGGGGAGACCGGGGGGGAGACTGGGGGGAGGGGGGTGGTTTTCTCATTGAAACCCACCGTTTTCAGGGTCATTTTGAGGATGGTGGGGGGTGGTTTCTCGGTAAGCCACTGTTTTCAGGTACACAAGTTTCTTTTTTGGGATTGGTTTGAAAGGAAAGCCCACCTAATTTGCGCGTGGGAATCCTGTTGACACCAACCCGGCGCAAAGGTTCAATGGGAACCCCCGCATGTAGAGATGGGGATGTTTATATTAGCAGGTTCGAGTCGTCAAGCCTAGAGGCTTGATCAGGTACCAAAAGTCAATGGGTGCGGCTCCCATGGACATCAATGGTTGCAATGGGATCCTTGCCCTCGCTAGAGCGTCGGATACCTCAAGCAAATGGGTGCCATCCCAAAGGGCCCCGGATTGAGTCCGAATGCCTTGTCCTGACCCCATGTGGCAAGCAACCCGGTGGCAATGAACCAGGAGCCAACCATGCTCAGCTGTCACGGGGCAATTTTGATTCGAAGGTCTTGTACGGAACTGAGAACACTGAGCCCCCAATCACCGACACCACCACCAACCACCCACCACCGCCATCCCACCATCCCACCACCCCACCACGCCACCACGCCACCACGCCACCACGCCACCACGCCACCACGCACCACGCCACCACGCCCCACCACGCCACCACGCCACCACGCCACCACGGCACCATGCCACCACGCCACCACGCCACCACGCCACCACCCACCACCCACCACGCCCCACCACCCACCACCCCACCACGCCACCACCCACCACCCACCCACCACCCACCACCCACCACCCACCCACCCACCACCCACCACCCACCACCCACCCACCCACCACCCACCACCCACCACCCACCACCCACCCACCCACCACCCACCACCCACCCACCACCCACCCACCCACCACCCACCACCCACCACGCACCACGCCACCACGCCACCACGCCCCACCACGCCACCATGCCACCACGCCACCACGGCACCACGCCACCACACCACCACACCACCACGCCACCACCCACCACCCACCACGCCCCACCACGCCACCACGCCACCACCCACCACCCACCACCCACCACCCACCACCCACCACCCACCACCCACCACCCACCCACCCACCACCCACCACCCACCACCCACCCACCCACCACACCCACCAAAACCACTACCCCAGGTAAATGATGATGTTGAGATTGGGACTGGGATCGGCACTTGAAAGCTGCCAGAACCTAGATGAATCACAGTTGAGAAGAGGCAAGAAGATTTCGAGGTGGCTGTAAGTGGGAAACCTTCCTATCGTAACAAGCATGCTCCAGGGCATGGATGTGCCACCAATATGTTGGGAATAAGATTGAAGGATTCACCAAGTCAAGGGCTGCAGATCGTTGCTTCTCACACAAGCAATCCCGCTCAAGCCATCGATCTTCAAGAACATGGTTTGGGATCCCTGTGTGTCTTCAAATGGGGCCCAACACATTTGGAGCTCTCGGCACTCCTTGGGCAGGTTTGGCATAGACACGGTGAAACAACATGGCCAGTTTCTGCTCGGTTTTCCGAGCCCAAAGTCCAACCGGCCAACCGGAACGAAAGCAGAGTGATGGGCTCTTCGCGTCCGCGCAGCTGATGAGGCTTAGATCTTCGAGAAAGACTGTCCTTCGGACTGGAAGACCCCTACAGAGCCATACTGTGGATGGACGAAATCCATTTCGCACCACTTGGAAACAATAGGAAAACCATTACGTTTGTTGGTATTTACAGGGGAATCGAATCATTCTAGGGTTTCTCAGATGGTGCAGGATTTCGTCCATCCACAGTATGATGTGGGGGTTGCTAAAAAGGTCCTTTGCATAAAATAGCCATGGGTTGGAAAGCCACACCCCAAAAGTTCGGAATTTCCAACACATGGCCCCCACGTCACCCATGCTCATTTGATTACCCTTCGCGGAATCTCGATCCCCCTGTAGCCCGCAGCTGGCTTTCCCCCATCCCGAGCGAAGAAAATTCGCGGGACCCGAGGCTGAGGGAGCCCATCCGGCGGTGGCTGGCGGAGTACGAGGCCACGTTCCCGGGCCCGATGAAGGCGTTGAAGTGCCTGGAGCGGGCGGAGGATTCCTTGGAGGTTCTGATCCTGCGCCTCGCATGCGCAACGGGCGTGGGGGCATCTGTTTTTTTTTTTTTTGGGGGGGGTGTTTCTTTTTGAAGAACAAGAGCAAACCCGTTTTTTCTTTTGAATAAAAAGAGGAAAACCGCGAAACCGCGGCGGGTGGCGTGTTTTTTCATGTTTGGCGTGGAAAAACAGGGGGTTGGTGTTTTTTCTGGGTTGTTTGTGTTGGTTCTTGTTTGGTTTGGTTTGGTTTGTTTGGTTGGCTTGCTTATTTTGCTTCGCGTGTTTGCTTGTCCGTTTTTGGCGGCTTGTTTGCTTTTTTGCCTTGCTTTGCTTTCTTTCTTTCTAATGTTGAACCCGGATTAATAAACCCCGGTTTATCAATTGGGGGTGTTTCCCTCCAAAAGTGATGAATCGCCACTAAAACCAGGGACACCCCCATATTAATTAATTGCGGTTGATGAATCCGGGGTCAACATTCATTATTTGGTGCTTGTGGCTCCGTTTCGCTGACGCGCACTTCTCGCGTTGACCATGGGCTTCCCGCCCGCAACCGCGCACTTCCGGTTTCACCAGTCGTCTTTCTCGGCGTTGGACGCGTGGAGGTTCCGCTTCCTCTTCATCCCCATCTGGCTGCGGAACTACGCGCCCACCACGCTGCAGGTGGAGACCTGGAAGCTGCTGGTGGCGGCGCTGCCTCACTCCCTGCGCCTCGGAGCTGGCACCTGGTGTGTGTGTGTGTGTGTTTTTGTTTTCAATATATATATATATATGTATGTTTCTTCTTTTTTTCTTTATTTTTTCCGCATCCCAAAGCGGTGGGTGTAATTTTCTGCGTCCTTTGGCTTCCCTTGTTTAGAACTTCCCAAGAAGGTGTTGCCTCACAACAGTCAGGGCCAACCCAGTTTCGGATCCCAGACACATGTGTGTCTAGCGTTGCAGAGCTACATTGCGCCCCTTAGAGCTGAGGTTCGAGTCGGATTGTTTGGCAGGTGGTAAGGTTTCACTTGTCCGCGAACTGAGGTGGGTGTCCTTTATCTTCGCGTCCCTTGGGGTGTCCTTGCAAGACGCGGAGCAAATGCGGCCTGGCCTTTTTAGGGGCGAGGTTTCTTTTTTCCGACTCAAGCAGTTCTCCAAAGCAAACCCTTGCCTTTTGATCTTTTTCGCCCCTTTTTAAGGTCCTCAAAAGTGAATGCCTATTTCCAGGTCCCAAGCAGGGCAGTCCGTTCGACTTCTGGACGGCTTTGGCTTTGGCCAAAATCAATCAGGGGTACCGAGTGCCCGGTGAATCTAGCATGGTAGGTAAGAGAAACACCCGCCGACTCAGCGGTCAGCGGAACTCGCCGGAAAATTGGGGCCTGCTCCCCCTGACCTTTGTTCGTCAGTGCACGATGTCCGAGGTTTAACCACGGGGCAGAATTCCAGCTGTACGACATGAAATGGCAGCACATCTTGATGTTTGCCGTCTCCTGCCTCACCTCCCTCCTCATCTCTTTGTACGCCTACCGGAAGTACGTGGAGATGACCAGCGACGAGGCGGAGCACTTGGTGCGAAAGGAGCCGTAAGACGCGCAGTCTGGGGACCTTTTTTGCCCGCGGGGTGCCTTTGGGGGACCTCTTTGTAGCAAATGCTTCGCACGAGCGCACGGATGCCGACGCGCGTGCCAAATCGGAGATGGATGTGGAGCCTGTGTGTGGCACCGGTGTGAAACACGGTGCTGCAGGCGAATTGTGCCAAGCGAATCGAGTCGCAAAAAGAATCGTAGAAGCGGCAGGCATCGCGGTTCACGGGTCTGTGTGCCAAAGCCAGCGACTGGTAGGTTTCGGCTTCCAAAGAGCGTGCTTTCCTCCGCCTTTTTCTGCGTTCGACTCCTCCGCTGCTAGTCCTTTGGCTCAGAGAAGCCTATAGGCTTAGCTTGCCTGCAGTCTGTCCCCTTGCAGTTCCGTGTCTTTTGCGGGTGCCCGGGTCGGAGCCCGGGCACTCCGCTGAATTCGGGGGTCGCGACCCCGGATCTCAGATCGTCCGATGCCCCACGCACTCAGCGCCTTGGCGCTGCTGGCGCGCCTGGCCGCCTCCGCTTCCGCGCCGGAAGAGCTGCCGTCGGTGGAGCTGAGCGACGCCCTGGGCGCGAACGCGCCGCCGAATGCGACGAGTGGCTTCCAGCCCAAGGAGATGGAGGTTCCGGAGGCTCCAGTGGACGAGAGCTGGCGCGCCTGGGCAGAATGCAAATGGCCAGAACGCAGCAGTGATCTTTTTGCCCAGGTAGAGTTGATTCATGAAGTTCAGCAAGTGCTTGAGGCAAAGACTTTCTCAATCACGTTAACCTCTGATCGTTTATTATGGTGGCTACCTTTTCGGACCCTTTTGTATTTGGGGGAAGCCATGCCCGTTTGTCAGCTACATACTACCTATGGATCTATATCAATATTTGGGTACATGGCTTTTGTACCTCGGGACACTGTGGGGCACTCAGGATCGCAGCCGAGAGCAGGCACTGGCACCATCGACCCGCTCACTTGCAAGGACACGGCCACCGGCCGAAAGATGGCCGCTTCGCCTGCGTAGAGGGCCACATGTTGATTTTGTTTTTGGCGGTGAGCTGCTTGAGGGAAGCAGGGGGAAATGTTCCACTGATTTCAGGGGTTCCGTCAGAGACAGCTGAGAGACAGCTGAGAGAAGGGCGGCCAGTTGATTAGCAAAGAGGTGACCACCTCCTCAATGGACGGGGCTGAATCTGGGAATGTCGAGTCAAGATCTGGAGCCCTTTGTCAGGCAAGACGAGAGCCAACCCACCCAGCCGCGCACCCACCCACCCACCCACCCACCCACCGGCCCAACCAACCCAACTGCCCGCCCAATCAACCAGCCAGCCAACCTCCAACCCACCAACCCTCGCTGTCATGAGGCTTGCTTCGACTTTTCCACTGCCCTCTGCACCCACTTCGAGGAGGCGCCCTGCAAATGCACCCTGGACACAACGGGTGGCACAACGGGTTTTGTGTTTTGGAGGCGAGCAGAAACGAGCAGTCTTTTGGGATCGGCAACCCCACGGAAATCTCCAAGGTAGACCTTTTCCCGAAAGTCGAAATCAATGTCCAAAAGGATTGAAGCACGAATCCGAGTCAGAGTCACAGCGTTGAAGGACGGCTGAGAATCCATGCTTCCCGCCTCTACTGTTTGATGCGCCCTTTCGCAGCAAGCCTGCGCTGCACTGAGCTCGAGCATGTTTTGCACGCGTTTGCTCCGAAGAGTGGAAACACTAGGGACCACCTTCCCGCCTCCACTGTTTGATGCGCCCTTTCGCATTGATCTCGTGCATGTTTTGCCCGCCTTTTTTTTTTTTTTCTCCGAAGAGTGGAATTGCTAATAATCTCAGTGCTTCCAATTACCAGCATAGTAGGTACTGGTACTAGCTTGCTACCTATGACGGTGGTAATTGGAAGCACTGGGCTTCCCAGTTTTTCCACTTTTGATAGAAAACTCGTGTAAACGCTGCACGATCTCGGTCATGCCCGTATTTCTTTACTTCGACCACCTGGCCACTTGCAGATTCTGCGGGTTTGGCCAGTGACTACATTTGTCCCCAAAACATGGTCAGAAGTTGGCTCTTTTTAGTCAGAGAGGCGCATCTTGAGCGCTCAGGCAGCCTGAAGTCGCCGATCTGTGTGACCGACTCCGGCAAGAGATCTTCCCCGGCGTCCAAGAATCATGCGGACCGCGGGGTTGGTTTGTTTTTGTTTGGGGGGAGGGAGTGGGTGTTGGGGGTTGGGAATGCGAAAGCCCTCCAAATGATTCGTGGGTTCGCCAACCTTTTACTTGCGGAAGTAAGCAAGAGAACAACGACCGGCTTGCCCTTCCATGGCCAGATGTACCAGTCATGGACCCCAGAATTTGATGGAATTCAGAGAGCCGTACAGGTTCCTATGGGATTGCTATGACGAAAGCACGCAGTCTTGGGGAATTTTGGTTCCATGGCTCATATGCACCGCCCTTGAGAGCAGGAACTTCATTCTTGCTGCACGCGGATCTTGGATGCATTCAGGGCTCCTTCGTTTCGGCAGAGCGGCCTCTGGATAAATCCCGGCCCCTTAAACTGAACAGTTTGAGGGCTTGAACATATTTCCCCAACAGCTGAAAGCTTTGCGGTCTCAGGTTGCGGGGCGGCCCTGAGGTAAGGTTCCACGAGGGTTCAGGGTTCCATCAGGGTTCCACGAGGGTTCTACCAGGGTTCCACGAGGGTTCCGCGAGGGTTCCACGAGGGTTCCACGAGGGTTCCACGAGGTTCTGCGACGGCGCGAGCACTAAAAAGAGCACCGCGTGCTGTTGAGGATATCACCTGAGCTTATTTTCTGTTGGCGGTGGATTGCCTTTGTCACTGCCGTTGAGAGGTCAACTTGAGGATATCACTCTAGTGGACCAAGAGTTGAGCAGGACGGTAGTCGGCCACTGTTCCCGGCAAGCACGCGCCAAAGGAAAATATCGTGCATGAGGATGGATCATGCGAGCTCAACGCCGAGGTACTTGGAGGTTGGTAGAGGGGTCCTGAGGTTCTCCCAGCTGCACTGTTTGCGGAGGCTGAGCCTCGTAGTCTCAATGCCTGATTCATATAACAGGGCTCCTTAAAAGAAACATTTTGCAACCATTTGAAACATGGCTTTTTCCACCCAAATAAAGGGACACCACCATTTACAAGGCAATGTTCAGGTGTATAATGTAAGGATCCCTGTATTATCCCTCGGTTTTCAGCAGGTCTGGTTTTCCTGAATTGGACAGGCGATTTCTTACTTGAAGTACACCGGGGCTATCCCCCTCCCCCCCCCCCCCCCCCGTGGAAGGGTAGACCATGTATAATGTGGCGCGCGCGCGTGGCTCACATGACCCGCACGCCCCTTGTTGTTTTCATTATTCGAATCACTCCATATACTTTTACAGGGGCAGGTGACTGTTGAGGAATGCCAAATCCAATTCTTCTAAGTGTCTAATTCTTCCAAATATTCCCGAATGGACGGGCGTGCTTTGGATCTTCAACGCAATTTCCATTTTTGTGCAGCTATTCTAATTGTTTTGTTCCCGCAAGGGACTGGAGCCCTTTTGGCGAATTTCAGATCCATGCTTGCTCTAACTATTCTGCTTCTAAACCTACTATCTTATCTTATTTTATTTCCAAAGCGAGGGCTTCCTTTCGGGAAATGCAACACTCATGCTTGTTCTAATCATTCTAAGCATTCTCACAATTCTAACATTATGTTTTTCAGTGGCCGGGCGCCTTGTTGGGAATGTCCAGATTCACTTTGAGCTAATCATTATTTATCCTAACATGTGTTCCCAAAGGGACGGGTGCTTTCTGGGGAAATCCAGACTCACTGTCTAATTACAATGATGGTCTAACTAGCCTAATTCTTCGATTTATTCAAAATGGGTTGGGTGCTTTCGTGGATTTCCTGGCTATACTCTTCTGATTAGTCGGGTTATGCTAGTTATTCCCAAAGGGACGCGTGCCTTTTGAGAAACTAACCAATTCATTGTTGCTAGTTGATCTACTTATGCTAGGAACTTGGATAAGTAGTATAATTAGAACACAGTTCCCTATTACTCATGTTTCTGAAAGGGACAGGTGCCTTTTGGGGAATTCCAGATGCAATTGATTTAATTCGTCTAATGATTCTTGATATTATCATTCTAAGTATTCCAAAGGCACGGGCACCCTTTGGGGAAATCCAGATTCAGTGTCTGTTCTAATCATTCTACGGTTGATTTGTCCAATTACACCAATTATTGTGGAATTCAAGATTCATGTTTGCAATACGCAAGTGTCAGAACCATTCTCGTTACTCTATTTTTTCCCGAGGGGCCCTTGGGGAAATGGCAGATGTGTTTAGATCATTTCAAGTCTTGGAGTGGTGAAATAAATAGAATAAGACGAAGACGCGTAGCCGTATTTGTACGCGTAAATCGTGTGTGTCTGTTCTAGTTATTAAAATGAGTCTACCGAATTAGAAGATTAAACAACACAGACCAGATAACGCCCTTTGTTTTTCTAGCCACTCGGCTTATTCTAACTGTTCAAACAGGGGCGCGTGCCTTCTCAGGAAATCAACATCACTTTATTTGCAAGTTCCTGTAATTGTTCAAGCTGTTCTAGTTATTCCTCACGGGAAGGATGCCCTTTGGGAAACCTCAGATCCATGTTTCAAATTGTTCTACTCATGTATTCCGAAAGGGACAGGTGCCCTGTTGGGCGGAATTCCCGATTCATTGACTTCTACTTAACTACTGTTCCCATTGATCCGAATATCCAGGACGATAAGAGAATATATGTTTTGCTAACTGTTCAAAATATTCTACTTGTTCCCAACTGGACAGGTGCCTGTTTGGGAATTCCAGACTCATGTTTGCTCCAGCTATCCTGAGTAGTTTCATATTCTATCCATTGCCCAAGGGACGGGTGCCTTTTGGGCGAATTCCAGATTAGTGTTTGTGCCAATTATTCTAACTCTCTAATTATTCTGATTATTCCGGTGCCTTTTGAGGAATTCAAGATTCATCTTGCAAATTACTTTATTTAACACAATTCTTCTAGTTCTTCTAATTGTAATCTCTAGGGGGTGGGGGTGCCTTTTACAGAGTTTCAGACTCGTGTTTGCTCTAGGTATGATACTTTTATCAAAAGAGATGGGGCCTTTTGGTGAATTCCATAGTTTTCCCACACTGTTCCAATCATTTGAAAAAAATCCAGCTGAGCAGCCTTCTT